AAACACCAAAGAATGGTTTCCAAGTGGTCACGATGCTCCTCTATTGACTTGCTATAAACCAGAATGTCATAAAAAAAAAAAAACTAATACAAACTTCCGCAAATAGGGCCTGAACACTTCATTTATCGAACTCTGAAATGTTGCTGGGGTGTTTGTCAGCCCAAAAGGCATGACCAAGAATTCATAGTGGTCTTCATATGTTCAGAAGGCCGTCTTGGGAATGTCTTCAGACCTTACCCTTATCTGAAGGTATCCTGATTTTAAATCCAACTTCGAGAAGATCCGGGCGCCATGTAGCTTATCTAAAATTTCATCAATTACAGGAATTGGAAAGCAGTTAGGAATTGTAATTTGTTGAGGGCATGGTAATCAACACAAACCCACAAACTACTGTCTTTTTTCTTTACCAGCAAGACGGGACTAGAGAACGGATTGGAACTCGGTCGAATGATTCCTGCAGCTAGCATCTCCCTCACTAACCTCTCGATTTCATTTTTCTAGAAATAAAGGTAACATTACGGCCTGACATTTACAGGCGCAGACCCCGGCTGTAGAACAATTGAATGATCCCGTGCTCAAAATGGTGGAAGCCCACCAGTCCATTGGAACACTCCAGAATATCGTCTCAGCACATCAGTGATCACACTAGGGGTTGCGGGAGGTGCTTCTTCATTCTCTACTCCCATGCTACCAAGTTCCAACACCACCCCCTGCCTCTCCTCCTTGAATGCCTTAATTATAGTTTTCAGCTACACCTGTGACTTAATGAGACTAGAATCCTCTTGCAGTAAGATGGTTCTTCCTTCCCACTTAAATTGCATTGTTAAAGTTCCCCAATTCACTTGCATTTTGCCCAAGCTTCCCAGCCACTTCATCCCCAATATGAAGTCAGTACAACCCAATTGTAGTAGAAGGAAATCATCTACTACTTCGATGCCAGCCAGTGAAATAACAACCCCTTTACACTCCCCACCGCTTCTGACCGTCAGGCTTGTCCCCATTAGCATACTATAATCGACTGTACCTGAAGTCGGAAGCTTAAGTCGGTCCGCTAATTCTGCTGAAATGAAATTGTGGATAGCTCCACAATCGACAAGCACAACTACTGACTGATCAAGAATTGACCCTTTTAGCTTCATAGTCGGGGGAGTGGTTAGGCCAACCACTGAATTAAGGGACAGCTCAACCATGTCACCCACCAACTCCTCCTCGTTAACCTCCATCGACCATTACGATGGTTCCTCCTTCTTGCCTTCTTCCTACAGTACCAACACCTGCAGCTCTTTATCCCGGTAGTGATGGTCGGGACTGTACTTCTCATCATAGCGATAACATAAGCCCTTCTTCCTTTTTACCTGTAGCTCATCATCAGTAAGCCTTTTAAAAGGCGGCACCACCCTCGTCGCAGCAAGAAGCCGCAATCCAATACTGTGCATGTTTCTAGAATTCGCCTGCACTGAAGTCACGCTGCTGGGCAGTGGTTGATAGGAAGTGAAGCGTGGACTGGCACTTATGAGTGGACTGGGCAAAGGGCTAAAACCCAACTGGGCTTGTTTAAGAGATTTGTTCATGTCCTCTACCCGTTGGGCCAACTCTATGATGTGGCCCAATCCTTTGGGCTTAAGCATCCTTATTTCGGCCCGAATTACTGCCTTCAGTCCATTAACGAAATTCCCTTCCAAAACATCTTCTGGAAACATCGTCAATGGAGCAGCCAAGATCTCGAAATCCCACTGGTATTCTCTCACCAACCCCTCCTGCTTTAGTGCCAGAAACTTTTCCAAGTTTGTTCCCTCCTGAGATGGCCGGAAACGCTCTAGTATTAGTTGTTTTAATTCTTCCCAACTCCTAACTGGTCTCCTACTGTCCTCCCATTGAAACCAAGCCAGAGCTTCACCCTCAAAACAACTGCGGTTGCTTTGATTTTCTGTCCATTTGACAGTTGATTCATGTTAAAATACCGTTCAGCTCTGAAAATCCAACCATCAAGATTGTCACCATCAAATATTGGTAGCTCCAATTTTTGACCTCGTGTTTCCCCCTTCCACTGATCGTCGTTCCTAATTTTGCCTTCGAATTTTACTTCCTCAGCCACTAACTTAGGCGCCTCCTCCGAAATTCTTGACTAGCCCGACGAATTTTCCAGTATGGCCTTCTCCTTCCTCATGCCCTCACGTGCATCCCATTGCTTCATCATCATAGCTTCAAATTTTTCCCTCATTTCCAGCATATCCCTCTACAACTCCAATTCCATATTACCCATCCCTTCCTGTAGTTCTCCTTGAATTCCTTTGATTCTTACTTCTAAGGCCACTACCTGATTTGTGAGCTATGTTGCTTGGACTCGAATACGGGTATCGGGTACGGGTACATATCTAAATGTCGGATATTTTGTTTTTTAAAATATAGGATATGGGGATATCGTTAAAAAAAGTTCAAATTTCGGACACGGTACATGAGTAAGTCTTTTAAACTTTAATTTTTTTACTAACCCAAGATGTCATTTTGAATAAATCAAAATCAATTGTTCATAAAGAAGGAAATAAATATTGAATAAGAGATTAAAACGAATAAAATATAATTTTGGAATATAATTTTCAATTATGGGAAGTTAATTACTAAATGTTATATAAAATAGAATATTAGGAACTTGAATATAATTTAGACTTGGTGGAGCACTAGATAGTACTATATGGAACTCATTTTCATTTTATACAAAGAAAACCCTAAACCATCGATACAGAGAGGGAAAGAAGGAATAAAAGAAAGGGAAAAGAAAAAAGAAAGAAGAAGGGAAAACTTAGTGTCATTGTCCTTCTCTACCATCTCGGAGGCAATACTAAATTTACAGAGAGCAAAAATGGGAAAGAAAAGGAAAAGAAAAAAAGGAGAAAGAAGAAGTAAAAACGGTAAAGTGTCCGATTGAAACTTGGAGGATTCGACATATATCCCATACCCATGTCGTATCGTATCTGACACAGGTACTACTACTATTTTGAAGAGTCTGAGCATCAAAGTCTGTGAGTGTCATTTTCCTAGGATGTGTGCTCTGATACCAAATTGCTACGTACCTGAGCTGAGCTTTGTTGCCTTGAGTGTTTCTGCCAACTTCACCTCAGGAAACAACCCCTGATCCACACCAAGGATGAAACGAGAATCAGCCAACAGAATTAAGAAACGAGGATTGATTAACAATTTAACAGCACAACGAGATGAACCTTAAACAATTGAACTCAGATTTATTAATTTGTGCCAGATAAAATCAGGATAGTTCCAAGGCTTTTGAGAGGCCTGGACTCTCCCAATGACTCAACCAAAAGAATGTGAATGAAAATCCCTTAACTCCCTCCAATACATTAATTCCCTCCCCATACACAGACTCTTTCCCAAATTACCCCTAGTCTACTCATTGACTGAATACAAATGACTCGTTTTTTCCATAGTACCCCTAACTACTAACTAACTGGGACTGAATAAGTTGCTGCATTGTTTGCCTCCATCCTCGCTGTGCCCTGCTCTTTCTTCTCTCATAGGTGAGGTTGATCGGGGGCCTATCACTGTCACAGTCTACTACTACTGTATCTTAGTTTGAGTTTCATGAAATTTGTAGAGGGCACTCCTATACGCTTAAGTGCTTAACCTCTTCTCAAAAACTTAAAGGGCATTTTGGAATGCTCAACTGAATGTTTTATTCTCTGTTTTCCTCAATTTAATACTGATGTTTCTTGCCAACTATCAGTGTTGATGACATAATGGTAAGTGGTTTCACGTACTGAGCTTTCATCCCTAAAATTGATTCAGTTCAGAGATCTTTAACAATGAATTAATTACTTGCTTAGTCAATATTACTTGTCAACCCGAAGCCACCGTTTGTATGTTGAGCTAGACTTCAATTACTTTTGAACTTCTTCATATGACTTGCAACTACTTCCACAATACACCGCAACTCTCTCTCTTGATGATGGGTCAATACGCCAAAACACTTCTCCCTATTTATTTGGATCAGCACTAGGTCTAAGTTCATCTAATTCAAGTAGCATCTATATATATCCACACGGTGATGATTTAGCTGCTTTCATTTTTTTATGTGACTGAATTAATAGAAAAATAAAATACACATGTAGCTTTCTTCACCATTTCAACTTTGCTAACTCGCCCCAAGTAAAGGAACAGAATATCATGTCTCTGAAACTTGCAGGTGGTGATTGCTTTGTGGCTTTTGTCCATCATTGGTAGCCTGATATCTTTCTTCACTCTTTTATACATAGGTATATCAATTCATCCTTGGGTTTCTTTGACTTCTTATTCATCATACCATGCCTTATGAAAATGCCTTTTACATGTGCTGTTCTTTTATCTGTGGAGGTCATTCACCTTTATTAACAAATTACTTGTTCCAGGCCTAATGTTATGAAATATTGAGCTCATCAATACCTTTTGAAAATGGGACTTGCTTAAAAAACTTGTGCAAAGTCAAAAAAATTAGGGCACGCTTAAAGAAAATAGTAGGGTAGCAGGGTTTTTGATGAACGTATCTGCATGTATACTTGCTTTTCCTTTTTAGGCTGTAGTTACTTGTTTTAATAGAGGTCTCATTCCTTTCAGCTTCTTTGGTTTGGGTGGGTGATGGATAGCTGGCTGTGAAGTGGCATATAGAAAGGGAGCAAGACTGAAAGAGTTAAAATTTTAAGGGGATAGAGATCATGTCTTGCGACCAATGGCGAATACACCCTAATTCAGCCTGGAACCCTAGTGGTTAGCAAAAGTAGTGTTTTAAATGCTCTGTATATGGGGTATGTGCGTGATAATGCAGTCAACCCATTCATTGATTACATATGCACACTTAGACACAGGGACGGACGCAGACATTTTGTATTAAGGAGTCAAATCAAATTTTTAAAAAAAAAAACGACGAAATTTTTTTATTACTTTATATGGATTATAAACTGTTATACTACTTTTTCATCTTGATTATTTTTACATCTAAAAAATTTTTATATATAAAAAAAATTAGGTCATTTTTAGGATTTTTTTTTTATTGCAACCTTTTTCTCTCAATCAATTATTTTTTTAAAAAAATAATCTAATAAATTTCCAAATAAAATTTTTGATGTCATTTGAAAAAAAATAATTGATCGAGAGAAAAAGGTAACAATAATTAAAAAAAAAAAGTCCTAAAAATGATTGAATTTTTTTTATATATAAATTTTTTTCAGATGTAAAAATAATAAAGATAAAAAACTAGCATAACAATTTATAACCTGTGAAGTAATAAAAATTTTATTAAGAATTTTTAGGTTAAAAAAAAAAATTTGATGTCATATCACATATAAGATTTCCTAATAAAATGATGTAAATTATATTGAGAAATTTGTCGCGTAAAAATAATAAATATTAATAAAATAATTGATTTTTTTTTAAAAAGAAGAATTATACGTCTCTTTTTAGCATAAACGTTTAACGTATGTTTAACTATTTTCGATATTCATTTAAATCATTCGATATGCTTATGATATAGTTTTCGAAATGAGTTTCGAGAGTATATAGAAGATTTATGGATATGGTTTGCGTATAATCGTCGAAGAAATTTTAAAGTTAGCTTGTTATCGAAATTCTCGAAATATTAGTTTGGAACAGCCTATTTTGACTTCTCGTAACATTTGCTACGATTGACCATTTTGCACAACATTAACGACGTGAAATACTAGGCCGTAAGTACTTCAAAATGATTTTAAGAATGTAATATTTCAACTTCATTTGATATTCCACAGTGAGCCTGAAAACTAAGACGAAAAAAAATACTTGAAAAAACTGGAGGGTCAAGTGATTCTAGGGAGCCCCCCCTTTGGGTCCGCCTCTGCTTAGACACCAAAATGCACCCGCATTTGTGTTAGAAATTGTGTCAAAATTAGCCTAGAAAAGTTCAGTCCATTTTTATAGCTTAAAAAACAAGGGGCAAATTGAGCTCAACAAACATCAAATTAGCCTAAATCACCCAAGCCCATGTAATTTGTAAGGTTTTGACGTTAGAAAAATGAAAAATCAAAATAAATTTTTGTAGAGTTGCAAACTATTTAAGTTGAGCCCAGGCCTCCTTCAATCTTCCTCTAGTTTCACTACTGAGATCTTCATTGAGTTGCAAAAACTTGAAGTTGCCTTTGGATCGATAATGGGGTCTAGTATCTTTAGTTGACATTACATTACATTACTTGTGGTTAAAGAGTCCTTTACGAAGGATACAATAGTTCTTAAGTGCATTAATATCCATACCTCTCTGCCACTTCGCACGTTGTTCCTTGGTCAAGCCCACTTCCAGAGTGCGGGTCTAAGTGTAAGACATCCTGCCTCGACTCTCTACATGTTTGGGTACTATTTTCTTCAGTGATACTGTAATGTTGAGATTATTATTATTATTGTGTTAGACAGCATTTGGCTTGTTCATACTCACCCAAAACAACGATACAATTTAAATCCTTACTGTTATGATCTCTTACAATTCTACAAATGGGTTGCAGGAATTGTCATTTCTATCACAGTTCCAGCTTTGTACAATAAGTTTGAAGATTGTGTGGATCGATATGCTGGGTTGATCCGTCAGAAGTTTTCGAAGCATTATAAAATCGTGGATGAAAGTGTCATTAGTAGATAGCCCAGGAATCTGTCTAAGGACAAAGATCCTTAGTTACAACAAAGTGCTGGATTGATGAGACATATCCTCTTTTCTTACTCATTGTTTTCCAATTTCCACAGGGTGATGCCTACATCAATTTCATCTTCTAATCCTGGCCTCTTCTGATTTCTTACTGGAAACAATAAATAATTTCTCATTTATTTTAGTTTGTTGGTGTCGAAATCTTTTTTGGAAATATAACTGTGATTTTGCCCTTTTTTCCTAAGAAAAATTATGATAGCAGAGCTATGAAAAAGTTAAAACAATGGAATCTTAGTAAGTCGAAATGTGAAATTGCAAATGCAAATTTGTTGCATCAAAGAATTAATCTCCGATACAATGTGATAAAGGAGTATCAAACCGATGTAACAAAGAGAAAATCAGACATTAAGAAGAGCTTCACCTAGATTCCATGCTTCCATTAGACAAAGTGACACAAGAAAATTTATATTTTTTAGACGAATTTATTTTTATTTTTAAAAACTAAGAAAATTGAGAAGTAGCAGTCCATTCAGGATGGGACCCATTGGAAGTCAATTTATGAACTAGTTTATACATTCATTAAGCCCCTGTTTTGGCTTCAATTTTTTTCCAAATTTTAATGTTTAGAATTTATTTTTTTTATTTTTTTTAAATGTGTGGTTGAAAACAAATGAAAAGTTATTGATTTACGTATGATATTATTTTATGGAAGATTGCATAGTTGAAAATGTGAGGAGAGGGAATGAAAGAGAATGGAAGCCAAACAGGGTGCTAAATATCAGGTTATGTAAGCAATAATTTTTTCATATACAATATAGCATGTAGATGGCAATCCATATAACACATTGAAGATGCTTCTAAGAAATGCCCGATTTATTACATGTAGAATAATTCTTGGTAAGAAATTTGTCAACATCAAATTCAGCCCTAATAGCACATGTTTGGCAGCTATACATAATTTGCTTATAATTGGTCAAATCACTAATTATCTACACACTTCGTTAGACATACAAATAATACTCATTTATCTATCACTCGTTATTATCTATTTATAATTATAATTTAAATCAATTATAAATACCCAAACATGCCTTTTCTAGATCGGATATTTCCATTTTGGGCTACTCTGCAAGTATATGCATTTGGTTGAATATAATTTAAATCAATTATAAACACCCAAACATGCCTTTTCTAGATCGGATATTTCTATTTGGGGCTACTCTGCAAGTATATGCATTTGGTTGAAACGTTCAACCAAATGCATAAACTTGCTACATTTTAAACGTAAGTAAAATTTTTTTTTTAACTAAAAAACCAAAAAAAAAAAAAAAAAAAAAAAAAAAAAAAAAAAAAAAAAAAAAAAATACCGAAACTCCAACCTGCAAGATGCTTCTTTATTATAATTTTGGGAAAACCACACCGATAGCTTCATGTAATGCAATCTGCTTATACACAGTCTACTCAATACTCAACATACGGCAGATTTATGAATTTTGGAGTAATTCTTTAGCCTTCTTCGACCAAACATCATAAATCTCATCTGAGAACAGAACAAAGTGCACCTGAAAAGACAATATTGAATCATTAATTCTGCTTACATAGAGATAGGATGTCTTTTACAAAGCTATTCTTCTACTAGAAAAAATGAAAAAAGGGATGCGCTGTGAAAAACTGGTTTTTAACTATGATGCACCAATACAAACACATCGACACGCAATTTTTCAAAAAAATATTGACAAGACACGTCTATTAAATTTTTTAAAATTCTTCATTTATATAGTATAGTATAAATTTAGTTTTATACTTGTTATTTTCTTTTTTTGTTGAAATCTTTTAGATAGAAGTACTTATTTGTTATTTAATAATAATTTTGAGTTAAAAATATATAATATTTCTAAAAAAGAAAGAAAAATGACCAATGTAAAGTGTTCAAGAAGTGTCGGTATCGGACATGTGTCAGACATAATACTACCCTAGTTGCAGTGTATATGTAACAGCGGTTTTTAATCTATACACGAGTGTATGTACCTATCATCAGTTGACGCTAGAAACCTTCCCCTCCATTTACTAATTATCATGCATTACTGGTCTTCTAGGGAACAACATCATCTCAGATTTTATGACCTTTTATGATTAAAATCACAGCTACTTCTATGGAATTCATGTGGAAAAAGCTCCAGCAGCTGCATGAAGGATAGTTTTATAGAGGGAAAGCTAAATTAAGGATTCATTATCATACTGGCAAAGCAGGGAGAGGGAGAGGATCACGTTTATTTGTATGATATAAAGTTGTGTCAAGGAAATAGGAATTACAAGAGTTCCAAGTTTGTGAGTTACAAGGTGGAAATTGAAGGACTAGATTTTGATTTCAGATATGTTGCAGCAACACTGCGCTATGATTCATGCATGCTTGTCTGCACAATGCAGATCCAACAACAACGAGCCATGGTACTTTTTGATATTGGATATGGACGAACTTAAAAATGAGAGAAGTGGGCAATGCTCTCACTAAACCAAGACATTTTCAACTATCTACAAGGATATTGTCTCCACATTTTCTCTTCTTCAAGACTCTTCCAAAAAGTTTTCAACTTCAGATTTCTCTACAGAATTCTCCAAAATCTTAGAAGATTCAGTAATCTCCCTTCCTCCCACTCACAAAATTTATGTTGTTCAAGTCTCATACTCCTAAGGAACATGAGCATCTCTTCAATAGATATAGGAGGATGTCATCTTCCGACAACAAAAAGGGCCACGGGCTGCCACAAGCAGCTGCACAGAATCTCGCATGTGAAGACAACAGGGTTCTGAAGCAGCCGGAGACAGATGTTGCAGAAGCCGAAGGCAGGGGCAGAAGACATTGGACAAATGACAAAGGATAGCAGGCAACGTAGAAGCCTATTGGATGTGTTCAGACTCAACTGCAAGCTAGGTAAAAACATTCTAAAATTATTGTAGGGAAATTATGGATATAGTATTAAATAGAAAGGATGGAGTTCTCTCCTGTATTTGATTGTCAAATAGAAAGGAATGGTTAATTGAGATTGAAAAGGCTCTATCTATTAAATTGAGATAATATGATGGTTTATTAATTTTTAAAGGTAGATTAAGTTCCTTCTTTTAAAGATTCATCTAGGCTTTGGCATCAAGTGTACCCGAACCACCTATTATACTTTGGCTATTTCGCATTTGTAATTATTGTAACCAACGCAACCCGAACCGTCGGTTCGATTCTACCCATAACATTTCGTTATAGACCCCTTTAAATACATATTCCTAACACGTTAATACTTGACAATATTTAAATTCTTCTACTCCTAAAACAAGCTGACATAGAAAATATTAATTAGATGCATAACTATGTAATATTAAGAAACTGTAGACCACATATTGAACTCGCTGTTTTTAAGTAAAAAAGAAAATATTATATTTCAAAAGAGAACCATCAACTCAAGATTAAGGCACTCACATCCCATGCTATAAATATATCAAGTTCAATTGCCACGCGTTATTGAAAAAAATTAAAAAATCACTTAACTTTGTAAACAATGCAAGAGTAAAAAGCTCGAATTACAAAGAAAGAACGCTTTGATTTATCAAGTTACACCATAAACTAAATTGAACTTTTTAATTCATAAAAACTCCAAATTACAAAGATTAAAATGTACTAACATGTGGAATGCAACAATCTGATGTGAGATGAGATACCAAAAAGTAGAAGCTCGTCCTGATTTCTTCGACTTAAGAGTCTAGAGTTTTAGATAAATAACTACCCAAATTAGGTTTTTAGGTTTTGTATTTTTTTACCTAGCCTATAAATTGTAAATAAAAAATTATAGAAAAAATTAGTTCTATTCGGGTACCCACAGTTCTAGTTCATGAATCAATAATCGACTCGGAACCAAAACATCCGGGCCTAGATTCATCAAAGGATTCCTTCTTTGATTGGATATACACGTGACTTTGATTGGTTATATATATAGGATAAGCGTTTTATATTGGGGAATTGCATTTTACCTCCAAACCTTTTATGACTCCGTGATGACTACCTTATTGCATGGAAACATGCAACTAACTTGAAATCGAGCAATTCACCTCCAATTGTCGTTTTCATTTAATGGCATAAATGTAAACTTTTGTTTTTCAAGACATAAGTTTCTAGTGTCTTCCTTTATTGGTTTTGGATGTTTTGGGATTTAGAAAGTAAGCCATTATCCTAATGGTTTTAGAAGTTCTTCAGTTCAGGACAATTGAACCTAAAACAAATAAAATAAGACAGAAAGAAAAAATCGATAAAACCTAGATGGTTCGAGTCTGCTGTTTGAGGTTGATGTATATGATCATGTTTCTGTACTCTAAAGGCTAAACCATTTTTCAACCACAATTCATCTTGTGCAAGCAGCACAGACAGTAACATTCAGAGCCTTGTAGGATATACATTAGCACTTTGGTCGAAGGCAAGTTCAGATAGAAGAAGAAATGAAATCATCAAACAATACCTCCTTCAAGTCGTTTACAAATTCCTTGACCGTAGATATGGCCACAGAGGCAGCTTCATCATAAGGATATCTGAAAGAACAAGTTATTAGTGTCTTGGCAAAGTGCTTACACCTTACTGTAGTTCACGTTCCCTAATCAGACAGTCAAAGATCCAGTACATAGTGCCTAAACCCTTTTTTCTAGATATTGTAAATCAGATACTTGCATTATTCAACTCAAAAGTACTAATTAGTATCCTATCTGATCGCAGTATAATAGCAATATTTGCAGCCCTTGATGCCACATATCAAAGGTTAAAAACTGTCAAGCAGGACAAGGCATGGAAAAGATTGAATACTTCGTAACAAAGAAGAAATAGATATAGATTTGCAAAAGAAAATGTTATCCGAATAATTTAAATTGTCGAATGTAAGTAAATTTTTAAAAATAAATAAAGAATTCAGACAACATGGGCAGTTGTCTAGTTTATCAATGGTATTACTTTATCCATAGACATGATTCAAATAAGAAAGACAAAATTTAGAATTCTGTTAGCTGTAGAAGATGATGGTCGAGCTCTGACAACATACCCGTAGACTCCACATGATATGGCAGGAAATGCAACATAGTGAATGTTGTTCTCTTTGGCTACAACTAAACTGTTTCTGTAAAACATTTCATTTAGGAGAAAGGAAATTTCAGCCG